TTTTTGGTATGTTATGATACATTCGTTTAGTAACATTATACGTTTAATTAGCTCCTAGTTCTAGGGATTCAGCTCATTAATAGTTTGCCTAGTACATGTTTTGTTCTATCCCTAGCACTAAGAAAATAATAAATCCTGAATGGGAAGCAAGCCTGTGCTTGATAATGTTAATTTTTCACTCATTTTGAAAAGTTAAAAGTATGTTTTATATTTCAACTCAGCTAATCTTAAAATCAATCTTCTTTGCAGAGAAATTTTAAATGATGGATCTATCATTTTTATGTTGTTATAATTAAAAATATTTCTCAGTGTTATTCTCAAGTATTGGGAAGTTTACTCTCAATATTTGTCCTTCGAGAAAATTAGAGTCTCCCAAGGATGAGCCAGACCTCTTGTTGGTTGTCCAACAGAGAGCATTTAGCCCTGAAACCATATATGCACAAAAAACAAGAAATGATCTGGGCAGGGTGGTGTTGGCACACAGCATTAGTCCCAGCACTTGGGAGATAGAGGCAGGCAAATATCTGTGATTTCAAGGCCAGCATGGTCTACACAAGAGCTAGTTCCAGGACAGTCATCTAAGCCACAGAGAAACCCTGTCTCAAAAAACCAACAAATAAATAAATAAATAAATAAATAGTAAGTGATGAACATCTTGGCTCTATCCAGAGATCAGCCACCCTTGAGACCCTGTCGTGGGGAAGTCTTTTTTCTTTTAGTCATTTTCTTTTTATTTTGTCTTTTTATCCCATTCCCTACCAGGCTTTGCCTTTCTTTCTTTCTTTCTTTCTTTTCTTTCTTTCTTTCTTTCCTTTTTTCTTCCTTCCTTCCTCTCTCTCTCCGCCCTCTCTCTTTCTTTGTGCATTTAAGCTTCTCCCTCTTAGTGCTTATTTCATACACACACACACACACACACACACACACACATCACTGTATAGCCCTGGTTGTCATAGAATTTGAAACATATACCAGGCTGCTCTTGAATTTACAGAGATCTGTCTCCCTGGTTCTAGGGAATAAAGGTGTTATGGCCCACTTCATTCCCTTATTTTTCAGGTAAGCTCTGGTAATGTGTGTAAAAGGAGGCTGAAACATATATATATATATATATATATATATATATGTATAAAATTATTAATGGCATCATTTGATAAACAAAATCATTGGTCTGAAAAAGACATTCAGAAGTTACTGGAATGTATGAAAAATAATATACCCTCAGAGGACTCCCGATCATTCAACAAAACCCTGGAAGATCTAGACTGGGACAAAGTAGCTTTTGAACATTTTTCCGGAGAAGTGTGCAAACAGAAGTGGATGCAGATTTCTCATAATTTGAGGAAGTCCCGCACACTCTCAGAATTAGTGCTGGAAGCCTCTGAACTTACTAAAGAACCTCAGAAAACTAAGACAGTAAAGAAATATCCTGACTTCCCAAAAAGACCCCTGACTGCCTATCTGCGCTTTTACAAGGAGCAGCGGGCCAAGTACAGTGAGATGTATCCTAAGTACAGCAACAGTCAGCTGACCAAAATCCTGGCTGAGAAATACAAGCAGCTGCCTGAAGAGATCAAGGAGAAATATATTAAGGACTTCCAGAAGGAGAACCAAGATTTTCAGGAAAAACTGACTAAATTCAGGGAAAACCAATCCAGTGTAGACGTAGAACATTCTGAGAAATCTGTGGTGCCCAGGAACCACCAAACCAAAGTCCCTAGGAAATCTCAAGGAGATATGAAACACGTAAAGTCCCCTCTAAAAACAGAAATTCCAAAAACACTTCCCCCAGTGATGAAATTTCGGGGAGAACCCAAGAAACCCCCTATGAACGGATATCACAAATTTCACCAAGAATCATGGTCAAGTCAGGAGCTGCAGCATCTAACCCTTCGGCAACGCCGGGTTGAGATTAGCAGACGATGGCAGCGAATCTCACAGCACATGAGAGAGCAGTATAACATTCAGGCTGAAGCGCTACAGAAACAATACTGGGTGGAGATGGACCTCTGGCTCAAGGGATTGTCACCAGAGGAATACGGTGCATACAAAGAGACACGAGCCAACTATGGTAAGAGAAAGAACTTTGCCATGTCTGGAGGCATGAACCCCAAGTGTCAACCAAAACATCTGCAGTCGACCTCAGCAAAGGAGCTGCAAGTCGGGTCTGAAGAAATGCAAGGGCTACTGGCTCCTAGAGGAGATTCCCGAAAGACTATTCAGGGCCAAGATGGTGACTCCCAGGAAATCAGGAAGAATGTGATGGAAGACTCCAGCAGCTCCTCAGACTCTAGCAGCTCCTCAGACTCTAGCAGTTCCTCAGACTCCAGCAGTACAGATGAAGGTGAAGATAATGGACATCTTCCTTAGTAGGAACGCTCAGATTAAGACTCCATTTTGCTCCCTTTTATAACCTAAATTGTCCTTTAAAACCCAGAGCATCCCTGACAGAGATGGACGTGTCTTCTCTGTGCTGTTGTACTCCCTTGTTTTCTCCTCCTGCATCCTTCCTTTGCTTACTAAATACAAAGGACTACAGTTTGGGGAGAAGGGAGTTTCCCAAAATATTGCCTTTATCAGGCCCATAGACTTACTAAGGCCCACCTGAGACAGTCCCTAGAAGCTATTTACATTTTATTCAAACTATAGAACGAGTTTTATGAAGTTAGGCACTGTGTATACAAGTGGTATCAGATAATTCTAGGAAGGATCTCTTAGGCCTTACTGTTTCAAACAGTCAATCTCACCTCTGATATTCAGAATAAGCAGAAACACAAATAGATCGATACGGATATTCTATTCTCTGGCCTTATCTAATGTGTTTAATACATTCATCAGCACCACAGTACTGTAATTATTTTGTAAAGTTGCATTTTAAATATATTTAATGTTGCCTACCATTTTGCTTTAGTGTATGTTCTTTTCATGAATATTAGCTTTATAGAAATCGTTTAAAACCATTGAAATTATTTATTTGTACATAGATATTCATTTTATTTATTTTGGCTCATACATAAATTGTAAAACTTGTACATATTAACAGAGTACTGGGATATTTTTATAAATATTTATAGTGTATAATATTTAAGTCTCGTTAAATATGCGCATCTCTTCATATATATGTCATTTATTGCAGAGAAAATTTGTCAAAATAATTTCATATGATTCTAATTTTAGTGAATAACTGTTTATGTGTTATTCCAAGAGAAAATTATTTTGGTGCATATCTTGCAAAATTTACAATCCTGTACCTCTCTCTCATTTGCTTTTGTAAACTTTTTAAGATGTTGCATCAAATGCAACAATATCAAAAAATAGTAGTGATAAATTTGTCTTTTTAAAAATTTTTAGCTAACTGATAGGATTTACTGCCATGGAATTGTGTTTATATATGAATTTGAATAAAGTTGTACATGTAGCCCAAATTGGATGTTTACTTATACAGTTAAACAACTTTAATGAATGATGTTTATTAACTTTTATCTTATCTTTAATCATGTAGTGATGGAATTTTTTATAGGGTTCTCTGTATAGTACTGGATATCTTGAAATTCATTCTGTAAAC